TTTCAAAGTTGATCACAAGGTAAACGCCCTACCTCAAGGTGCTGCGCTGCTTCTGAAGTCAAACCAACAGTTACTGCAGCCAGTCCTATCAATCCTCCCTGAACATAATTTGAACAAAAAAAAGTAAATAACCAATTCATATTACAAAGAAAATATAGTCAATTCATATTACAAAGAAAACTTTTTTCCCGGTGTTTGGTTGGGTATAAAGTAGGTACCATATGATAATCAAATAATGGAAAATAGAGTATGTGAATAGTGTTTGGTGAAGTTTTGTATTATTAAAGGTTGACAAAACCGTCACTAAATAACAACGACAATAACAGACCCGGTGTAATCCCACAAGTGGGATCTGGGGAGGGTAGTGTGTATGCAGCCTTACTGCTACCTTGTGAAGGTAAAGAGGATGTTTACAACTGTCACTAGATCAAGTGATATAAGTAAAAATAGTGATATTTGTAAAGAAATATTACTTCCGCCTAGAGGTGTAGCTAGTAGGAGGGAAAGGGGTTCAATTGGATCCCCGTCGTCAAAAATTATAATGTGAAAATAGGATAAAAATGACGTGTTTTGGTTATACATTGTTGGATCCCCGCATAGGAAAAGATTTTAGTGTAGTGGTAAAGGGGTTCAAATAGTTGTTTAAAAGTCACAAGTTCAAAATCTCAATTATGATATTCTAATATTTTCTGAATCCCTTTATATAAATTTCTGGTTTCCCACCACTGCTTCCACTCCTACAGGCTACAGCGGACACGAAGTCATCTCCTCCCTCTAGGTGCAAATTATTTTTCTTGGAGAAAGCATTTTACACAAAAAACAAAAGCAACCACACTTACAAAATAAATTTCATCAAGGATAACAATTTCTGTCACACCAAACACACTACATTTATTACAATAGAATACAGTACAAAACGATACAAAACAAGCTGTAAGAGTAGAATTCAAACGCACTTTCCGGTTATGAGCCTGAGGTGAGTAAGTATACTCCTGAGTCAACAAATTGATCACAGAAGTGATCTTGTCATGATCACCTGCACCTGTCAATTGCTTAATAATCCCTTCCAACTACACAAAAACCCAATAAACATCAATATATCAGAAAAATCCTGAACTAAGGAAACAAGGATTTAAGTTATATGACATTGAAATGAACTTTTACACATCACTGTAATACAAGGTTAGTTATCATTTATTCTATGTCACAAATCAATGTGTTAATACAGTTAACTGCTATTACTTTTTAAGTGACCTGATTGTGTAAATAATTCTTAATAGTAAAAACCCAAATCCCAAAAATCAAGGGGGGAAAATCCAAACATTGAATAGAACAATACCCAAATTACAAAAACAAAAAAGAAAGCAGAAATTCAAGAAACCCCAGATAAAAATACCTCTAAAGCAGCATTCTTGCGCTTCTCGTACAGCTTATCCGACAGATTACGCAAAACAGCTGCTGGAATCACAGATAACGCTTCTGCGATAGTCATTTCAAGAATTCAAGAGGAAAAAAAAACACAGGTATATGACTGTGGTGACTGATAAGTTGTGAGTAAAATAGATCTTAAAAAAGAGGGAAAGATTGATGAAATCCAAAATTGAGACAAGGGGAAAGATTGAAGAAAGGTTTTTGAAAATCTACGGGGAAAGATTATAGGGAAAAAAGTCTTCTTTTGAAAATTGTAATAGACTAGAATATCCTTTTTCTCTTTTTCTATTTTAAATTAAACTTATTCATACTCCACAGATAAATAATTTTGACAAATATAATATGGTTAGTTTTGAGTTTTGACCAAGAAAAATGAATACCAACGTTTATCCTCAAATTTGTACGACTTTGACTATTTTTTTAAAAATGATTCATTATAATATCTTAATTTGAATTAGATGCTTGTTTTTTTTATCAAATTAACTTTTAAACTATTTTATAAATATTTATAAATCTCTAAGATTAAATATTGTCAAATGTTAATATGTTAAACTCAATGATGAATGTTGTATGTTTTATGTTTTGCTATTTATTATTTTTCTTATTCAGCAAAAAATAAATTATGTTGAGGTGAGATCAAACTGAACCGTTTTACTTAAACGTAAAGGACTAAGATATTTAGACTCGATATTCTAGGTAAATGGTAAATACTTGAAGATACAACATATAAAATTGAACTAAGATATTACATATAGATTGTCGCTACGAGAGTGTTATGCAACATAAAGATATCTACAAAGTGAAAAGTATATTTTATGGAATGATTGTAAAACAACAATATATGCGAGTAAATGTTGGGTCTAAGTCTCAGCATATTAAAAGGATTGCTAAGGAATTAGCTGGTGCGTTCTAAATTCAGTTTTTCAGTTCAATTTTTCAAGATAAAAATGTACGAAATTTTTTTGAAATTAAAATTTTAAGTGTAAAATTTCGGACAAAATAAGTATCGACTAATCTCTATAAAATTCCCAAGAATAGATCTCGAAAAGATTAATGGCATTAGGAAGGATGTGGTAGATCTAAAATCGTTTGGGAAGCTATCGAAAAAATTTGCATGTTAACTTAACAATTAGTAGAACACAATATAAGCAAAAACCCATATAGATAATAACCTAAAGCTTTGCCATTTTGGGGTGTTTATATTGTGTCTGTTTGTTATGTCTTCTTAATTTCTTTGCTTTATAGTTTATATGTCACAAAGCAGATAAAAAATATCTAACATGCGTATACTGTTAGAGAATCTCAAATTATTGAGTTTTGGAATGAAATTAGTCCAATTGAGCGAATTTAATGCATGGGCAGCTAAAGAAGCGACTCTAACTAGTTTGGGCAAAATACAAAAGTGGTCGTCGGACGAAACTTATTGCATTTACTAATCAGAAAGTATATAAAATATCATATAATATGAATATTGTATATGGGTGAAACCGGAGTAACATATACCTTTATTTCCTGGTGGGTCAAACGAAGCGAAGACAAGACTGTATGGATCAGAATCGAAGCCAGGGACTTCTCGTACTAAGGCCCGAACAAAGTGTTTGCCACCGGGCCTGATAAGACAACACTCCCTGAACCCAGAACGAACTCCAAAACGTCGGAAAGCACTACAAATGGTTGCACACGACTAACAGAAGGTTGTGATATCCGCACCCAATGGATATCATGGTGTGAATCTCACCTGACGTTAGTAGTATATCAGTAATTGACGAGAAAGAGTGATTTTTTTGCCTTTTTAGAGTTGTACTAGGAATGACATTCTCCTACTATATAAAGGGGAAACTTTTTCATTCAATTTACATTGTAACACACATACCAAAGTAATACAAAATTATTTCTCTGCTTCCTAGCTATTGTAAAGTCTCTACTTTATTCTTGTTCGTTATTCTTGATTGGCCTCGAACCCAAGACTCAACCGAGGGCAGAAACTATCGCCCAATTCAGGTTCAAGCTGGGCCATAATGTTACGACTACTTTGACTATTCATAGTACCTTTAACTCATTTGTTTAACGTTTTTGATTATTTGTATTGAATCAATTCACATATTTTTAAAACCGTGTATAAATTCAATTGTTATCCAATTTAAGGGTAAACAGTTTGGCGTTCACCTTGAGGCTAAGGATAATAGTGGTAATTTGATACAAATTTTCATAACGCACTCTGTTTACGCTTATTCTTTAAGGTTTCAATTTCAGGTCAGCTTAAAGATGTCAAATTCGCAGTCTGCTCACTTGAACATTGAGGTTAAATCTGGCCATCATGGAGAAAACAACAACCAGGTGTCTAGCAATGAGGTGCCCCCTGCTGATCCCAATAGAGTCCCAGTTGTCGATCTAATCGACGCCAATTCACATATTGCTATAGACGCCCACCTGCCTACTGACCCCGAAAATAGCTCTCATGGAGGCCCTCGACCAATAGTTCGAGAAATGCCCGAATGCGAAGATGATGAGATAAGCATACGGCAAATATTCGAGATGTTGGAGACTCAACAGGCGGCAATAGCACAACTACAGAATCAAGGCCACCCCCTGGTAGAGTCGAGCCCGAACGATCCCGGGAGAACAACCAAAGAAATGAGCAAACCACCGAGAGGTCGGGTGAAGCTGAGCCTGGGACTGGCCCCGAGATAATAAAAATGCTTGAAGCACTGATGAAGCGGGTGGAATCAGACGAGAAGAAAATTAAGGCCAACGACAAAAAGGTGGAAACATATCACTACGGGGTTGATCAAATCTCGGTAGCACCCCCGATATTAAAAGGATCGGATTCTAAAAAGTTGATCCAAAAGCTTTTCCCTCCGAGCGCTACACCGAAGCCGATCCCAAAGAGATTTCGTATGCCCGATATTCCAAAGTACAATAGAACCATAAATCCAATGAGCATGTAACCTATTATACACATGCGCCATCAAAGGAAACGACTTGAAAGATGAAGAAATCGAGTCGGTTTTGCTAAACAAGTTCGGGGAAACCCTGTCGAAGGGAGCAATGATATAGTATCACAACTTACCCCCAAATTATATTGATTCATTTGATATGCTTGCAGATGCTTCTATGAAGGCACATTCGGGGCCCGTCAAAGTCGAGACCAGGAAATTGGGTCTTTTCAAGGTGAAGTAAAGAGACAAAGATACGCTCAGGGAGTTTGTGTCAAGGTTTTAAATGAAATGGATGGATCTGCCTCCAATCACGGATGATTGGGTCAGTCAGGCATTCACTCAAGGACTCAACCCTGAAGTTCCTTGACTTTGCAACAACTAAAACAAAATTTAGTTAAATACCCGGCGTTGACCTGGGACGACGTCCACAATAGGTACCAGTCGAAAATCAGAGTCGAGGACGACTAACTCAGAGCCCTTTCTAGGTCCGTTTATATCGTTAGAACCGAAGACAGATCAAAGAGAGTCACCAATCATGAATCAAGATCGATTCGAGACCGCTATAAACCATATAGCGGAGATCATAGGGGAAACGGGTTCGGGTGTCACCCTACGGGGAACGAAAAGAGAAATGATCGAGGGCCTAATAGTTGAGGTCTGATGAGCAGAAATGGTTTTGACAGGCCGCTCGGGGCAAGGGAGACACCAAGATTGTTGAAATATAACTTCAACGTCGATGCTGCCAGCATCATGTCATCTATCAGGCACATCAAGGACACCAAGTGGCCTCAGCTATTGCAGTCTAACCCTACTTAGAGAGATCCTAACTTGATGTGTAAGTATCATGACACTCATGGGCACAAGACCGAAGATTGTCGGCAATTGAGAGAAAAAGTTGCCCGGTTGTTTAATAACGGACACCTACGAGAATTTCTAAGTGATCGAGCCAAAAACCACCTCAGAAGCAGGGACGCCAACAAATAGACTGAACAAGAGGAACCTCAACATATCATCAACATGATCATCGGAGAGGTCGATGTCCCTCAAGGGCCGATGATAAAATGCATTAAAGTGTTTATCACGACGGGGAAAATGCACTTGAGATTATGTTTCGGAGGGAAGCATTTCATTCAGCGACGAGGATGCCGATGGAATCGCACAATCTCGTAATGATGCATTGGTAATATCCGTACTTATCAATAAATCTCGAGTACGTATTGATACAGGTAGCCCGACCAACATTATCAGATCAAGGGTGGTAGAGTAGTTCAGACTACAAGACCAAATAGTGCCAGTAGTCTGGGTGTTGAACGGATTTAACATGGCATGTGAAACCACTAAAGGGGAGATAACCCTACCGATGAACACGCCGAGACCATCCAGGAAAAAAGGGTTCTATGTGATCGAAGGGGATATGAGATATAACGCTCTATTCAGAAGACAATGGGTTCACAACATAAGGGCGGTTCCTTCGACCTTGCACCAGGCGTTGAAGTTCCCTATACCAGGAGGAATCAAATTGGTATACGGAGAACAACCGGCTGCAAAAGAGAAATTTGCAGTCGATGAAGTACTCTTGGTACCCACCGTTTCGACATTAAAGAGCACAGAGTCGACTAGAAAAGCCGAAGTCAAATAACAATCACCAATGTCAGTCTAGGTCGAATCGTGGGAACGAGAAGGCGATAAGGAGGATGATTACAGAGTTCCAAGATCATTCATAGCTTCTGATGATATCGACGCTACCAAATCGAAGGTCAAAAAGTTGGAGAAAATCACATTGATCGAGCACCTGCTGGATCGAAAGGTATACGTTGGCATGGGGTTAGCCCCCGAGCTCAGGAGAAAACTCATTAATTTTCTTAAATCTAACATAGATTGTTTCTCTTGGTCCCATCTTGACATGACAGGGATCCCACCGGAGGTAACAACTCATAAGCGGAGTTTGGACCCGATGTTTTACCCGGTTAAATAGAAGAGAAGACCTCAGTCCAAGGTTAAGTATGCATTCATCAAGGATGAGGTATCTAAACTCTTTAAAATAGGGTCCATTCGGGAAATAAAGTACCCAGATTGGTTAGATAACGTAGTAGTACTTCCTAAAAAGAGGAAATAAGCTAAAAATATGTGTCGATTACAAGGACTTGAACAAGGCATGTCCTAAGGACTCTTTTCCTTTGCTTAATATCGATCGCATGATAGATGCAACGGTCGGGCACGAGATACTAAGCTTTCTCAATTCCTATTCCGGGTACAACCAAATTCAAATGGACCTGGACGATCAGGAAAAAACTTCTTTTATCACTAAATTTGGCACCTATTGTTA